AATTACAACACCATTAAAGAAAAATGGAACTTTAAGGAATTAAAGGCTATGCTGGTCCAACAAGAATGGAATTTAAAGCAAATGAAGGATCAAGTTGTGAATCTAGTAGGTCATAGAAGTGCCAGCAGCAATGAAGGAAAACCAAGTAAAAAGAACAAAGGGAAGGATAAAGCTTTCATAAAGGATTCTGAAAGTAAAATCCATAAGGGAAGAAAGTATTTCTTTTGTAGACAAAAGGGACACTTCAAGAAAGATTTTCCTAAAAGGAAGGCATGGTTTGAAAAGAAAGGTAAACATTATAGTTTTGTTTGCTCTGAATTGAACCTTATAGAAGTACCTAGTAATACTTTGTGGTTAGATTCTGGTGCTACTACTCATGTGTATCATATTAAGCACGGATTCAGTTCGATCCGGTCCATAAAAAGACCTGAACAGTTTTTGTTCATGGGAAACAAGATGAAGGCAAGAATAGAAGGCATATGGACGTATAGATTGGTCATGGACACTGGATGTCATATTTATCTTGAAGGGTGTCTCTATGTACCTGAATGTGCTAGAAATCTTGTTTCCGTAAGTAGGCTGGACAATTTAGGTTTTGTTTTCAAGGTTGGACATGGTGTTTTCTCATTGTACCAGAATGATTACTTTTTTGGTAGTGGTACTTTGTATGAATCACTTTAGAATTTCAATCTTGATGAAAATTTTTCTGAATCTTTGTTTAATATTGAAAGTAGAGGCATTAATCGTAGTGCATCAGATGAAAGTTCTGCTTTCTTGTGGCATCAAAGATTAGGTCATATTTTCAAAGAAAGGATTGTGAGGTTGGTAAAGAATGAAATTCTTCCTCAACTGGATTTTAGTGACCTGAATGTATGTGTAGACTGTATTAAAGGAAAGCAGACTAAACATATAGTAAAGAAACCAGCCACAAGAAACACTGATGTATGTGGCCCTTTGGATGCCCCTTCTTGGAATGGTGAAAAGTATTTCATCACCTTTATTGATGATTACTCACGTTATGGATATACATATTTACTGCATTAAAAGTCAAAATCAGTGAATGTCCTAGAGATATTCATTGATGAAGTGGAAAGGCAGTTAGATAGAAAAGTTAAAGTTGTGAGGTCTGATAGAGGTGGTGAATATTATGGAAAATTCAATGAAAGAGGGCAATGTCTAGGTCCATTTACAAAGTTACTTGAAAAAAAGGCATTTGTGAACAGTATACAATGTCTGGTACTCCTCAGCAGAATGGTGTAGCTGAGAGGCGGAATCGTACTTTAATGGATATGGTTAGGAGTATGATGAGTAATAGTTCATTACCTCTTTCATTCTGGATATATGCATTAAAGACTGCAACGTATGTGCTGAATCGGGTCCCTAGTAAGGCAGTTCCTAAGACCCCTTATGAACTGTGGACGGGAAAGAAACCAAGTTTAAAGCACATACGTGTCTGAGGTTGTCCAGCAGAAGTAAGGCTATATAACCCACATGAAAAGAAACTTGATTCTAATACTGTCAGTGGATGTTTCATTGGCTATCCTGAAAAGTCAAAGGGGTATACATTTTACTGTCCTAACCATAGTACATGAATAGTTGAGACGGGCAATGCTCGGTTCATTGAGAATGGTGAAACTAGTGGGAGTGGTGAATCACAGAAAGTAGACATTAAAGAAACAAAAATTGAAATTCGTTCACCTGGTATTGCACCTAAGGTAGTTCTTCCTATTGTTTTATCACAGTTCAATGACACAATAAAACAACATGATGGTGTGCAAAACCCGCTAGCTGAAAGTACAGTTAATGAACCTGTCATAATTCAAGAAGAGAATAGTGTACCACAAGAACCATTACGGCGATCTGGAAAGGAAAGAAGATCTGCCATTTCAGATGACTATGTGGTTTACACTGTTGAAAGTGAATGTGACATAAGCATAGATGAAGACCCGAACTCATTCCAACAAGCCATGAAAAGTAACAATTCAGAAAAGTGGTTGATTGTTTTGAAAGAAGAAACAAAGTCTATGGGTGATAATAAAGTATGGGACTTAGTAGAGTTGCCTAACGGTTTCAAGACCGTTGGTTGTAAATAGGTCTTTAAGACTAAACATGACTCGAAAGGTAACATAGAAAGGTACAAGGCTCGTCTTGTTTCTAAAGGTTTTACCCAGAAGGACGGAATCGACTACAAAGAAACCTTCTCTCCAGTTTTAAAGAAGGATTATTTAAGAATTGTTTTGGCTTTGGTGGCTCAGTATGATCTTGAGCTTCACCAAATAGATGTGAAAACCGCCATTTCTGAATGGAGAGCTTGAGGAAGAAGTATATATGGACTAACCTCAAGGTTTTGTGGCCACAGGAAAAGAACATCTGGTATGTAAGCTGAGGAAGTCAATATATGGACTAAAACAAGCTTCTAGACAATTGTATTTAAAGTTTAATGATACCATTATGTCGTAAGGTTTTGTAGAGATCATTGTTGATCGGTGTATCTACATTAAGGTCAGTGGGAGCAAATTTGTGATTTTAGTCTTATATGTTGATGATATTTTACTTGCTGCAAATGACATGGGCATGCTACATGATATAAAGAAGTATCTCTCTAAGAATTTTGAAATGAAAGATATGGGTAAGGCATCTTTATGGGTATTATAGATAAAGTCTTGCTGTTTTAGTTATGGTTGCTCATTATAGTTGTGACACGTTGAATTCACTTAAGTTTATGTTTCTGATTTATAAAAAATGTTATCATTAAAAGGTGTACACGTATGGTTTATAGATAACATATTTTCTGTATGAGAATAAAAGTTCTTCTCAATGTACGGTTAATTTAAGAATAAAAGTGCTTCTCAAAAATAAAGGGAGCTATATATATAAAATTAGTGTTGGTCGTGATACATGGAAGGGATCATGTCGATTGAATGACTTATGACAGTCATGTGGAATTAACTCTGATTTTATTGTTATAGTTAAAAGATAAGTGAACTTGATATAAAAGCGCACATTAAAGTAATTAAATCATCAAGTCAACATATATGTCAAGTGGGAGAATGTAAGAATATTTTCTTAAGGTGGAAAATGTGTCTATGGATTTAATTATCAAGGATCAAGTTCATATTAATGTTCAAAATTCTAACATAAAAGACAATACTATGATGGATTAGTTTTGATTAAAGGTGTTAGAATTTGGGTTTATTGATGACCATCTTCCTTACCTTATCATATTAAATCTTATGTTAAAAAGGATATGTGTTCTAATTGTGATGGTTACATGTGTGTTTTCTTGTTGTAAGACACATAAAGTTAAGTGTGTCTAATTATAATTGGTGCATGTGTATTAGTTGACACATATTATGCTTAAGAAATCTAAGCTTAACACTTGTCCTCACACATTTTCAATGTTAGAGAAGGTTTAGATTACTATATAAGGGTTCATAGTCATAAAGTTTTAGGCACAACACACTAAAACACATATCCATAAAAACTAAAAAAAAGAAAGATTTAGATATACTCTCCATCAAAAAGATCATAAATTTTTGATATAAAAAAAAGGTTAAAGAAAAAAGAAATCAAGTTCATTCTCATTACAAACACTAAAAACAAACATGAATCAACATAAGTGTTTTTTCTTTTACATAAAAGTATTAATGGTTGGATTAAATCAAATCTAGATGATCTTAGGATTAATTTCATGAAGTGAAATTATTAAAGTTTAAACTTACATAATATACCAAAAAAAAACATTAGACGAGTAACTGTTGAAACTTAGATTTAAGCAATAATTTAATTAATAATTAAATAAAAATCCAAATATATTACCTAGAAGAAGACAAAGTAGGAAGAAGAAAAGAGACGTGGAGTAACACAAACCTTACAATTACAGCTAAATATCTTCTTCTTTCGTCTTCTCTTCACCGATTAATTAGAGAGCTAATACAAAAATAATTCAAACAATTGCAGACAACCAGGGCACAACAAACGCAAGTGTAATCTCGAGCCTGTAGCTAAGCCACCGAATCTGCCTCCAGGAAGACCAAAGAAGCAAAAGACAATGTAAACGACATTAGAAATTTAGTAAACTCTGCTTCAAAATTTTGTGAAACCTTTGAATTTTAATGAACTCTGCTTTAAACGCAAGTGCAATCTTTGAATTTTGTTTTTGCAACTTGTCTTTTGTTTCAAATGTATGACGTTAAATTTATGGGTTCTAAACTCTTTGTTTCTGAAAATGAACTCAAGTACTAGTGCTTCTAATTCAAACCAGAAATGTTAAATACTCAAATAGTCAAACCAGCTTACACCACACGAAATCACCATAAACAAACGTACAAAAAAATATTACTTCTCAAACTTTTTTCTAAGACACTCGATCACCGTAATTATCACGCTTATGTCTTTCTTCATATCAAGAATGTCTTTGTTGATCTCGGTTAAGTCGTTCTCCATCATTGATTGCTTATTTGCCAAAACACAAACATCAAAACATCAGAATCGACATAATGAACTCAGCATTAATCGATCTGAATCGACATAAATCAACTTACCCGAGTTTAGCGCAGCTCAACTTGAGATTTTGAAATTGATAAAGAATCCTGATTTTTGGTCTAAAATCGATTTGGGAATTTTTAAATCGACGAAGAACCCTAATTTTTGGTCTAAAATTGATTTGGGATTATGTTTTAACGAGAGTGAGCAGTATTCATGCCGTTTTTTATAACTATAAAACGTTCCGTTTTGACTTTAACTGTAGTCCGTTTTAATTTGACGGTACTGTTCACGGAGGGGATATTTCATTAAAGAAAATTAGTTGAGGAGTTTTAAAATTACAAAACTAATTGAGGGGTTTTTATCCGATTCATCTTTAGTTGAGAGATTTTTTCACTAAAAACCCAAATAATAATTCATAATTAAGACGAAACCATTAAGCTAATTTTTGTTTAAGATTTAGGACAAATTCATATCACACTAACACTAATTTCACTGAACTCCCGTTTTAAAAAATGCAGTGGTTTCCGGCGTTAAGAGCGGCGGCGATTACGAAATCGGAAGACGCGAAAGCAAAAGGTATGGAAGAAGTAGAAGAAGGGTTATTGCGACTTGAGGAAGCGTTTGTTGCTCTAAGCAAAGGGAAACCGTTTTTCGGCGGTGAAGATATTGGGTTAATGGACATTTGTTTCGGAAGCTTTTTGGTTCTCTTGAAAGCTAGAGAGAAGCTTAAAGGAGAAAAGCTTTTGGACGAATCAAAAACTCCATCACTTTGTAAATGGGCTGACGAGTACTTGTCTGATGATACGGTGAAGAATGTGGTACCAAATGTTGATAAAATCGCTGAGTTTATAGGAGAGCTTGAGGTTAAAGGTCAATCTTAGGCAGCTTCGAGATCTTGAGATCATCTAAGAATTTTATTTGCAATGCAAATATGTCGAATGTAAGTATGAAAATAAGCTGAAGGTTGAAGGGTTGTCTGATACTTCGTAAGTGTATGCTATGATTATATAATGATTCAGTGTATTGACTACTTCCTTTTATTATAATTCGATGATGTTACAATATAAATTGCATTCTGTGACTATTATAACTCCCTCTCTCTTCTCTCATCTTTATTGAGAGTTTTTCTTATTTTTTGTTGTAAATATTCTGATTAATATCAAATGTTTTCCAACTTAGATCGGATTTTAACGGATAACTATATTCTATCCTATAAATCTGCAGGGAATCATTTTTTTAATCAAATTTTATAATATAATTTATATTTTTTTTAATATAATTTTTTAATAAGTGATAAATTTATTTTATGTTTAAATTTAATTTATTATTTAATTTATTATTTAAACTTTATTTTTAATATTAAATATGACCATAATTATAAAAAATAAATATAATCAGTCCGTTCTATTAATCTAAAAAAAACATAATTATAAAAATATAATTCTAACCCACTCATTCATATTACAATAACATATCATTTATCATTCATTATTATAAAAATATTATTTAAATTTGATATTATTAAACTAAACCAAAACTAATGTTCTATTTATTATTTTTGTAAAGATATATATATATATATATATATAATATTGGAGATAAATTCGATTTTTTCTACTTAGACAAATCATGTATTTGCACGTGGTGTCCATAGCTTTTTTGCATGTACGATCCCGTGGACCAAATTAAGATTTGTATTGTGCTTATGGCCCAATACAACCTAAGCATATAGCACTGGACCTCGAAAACTGTATTGGGCGTAGGTCACGCTGTCAAGTACAAGGAGATCGGAAACTGAGTGGTCAGAGGAGGATAAGTCACCTTCTCCATGTTCTCAACTTAAGCTCGGTGACCCGAAAAAGTCAGGATATAAGGAAGGGTGGTCCGTACAGGTACCCGGAGAGTGGAGCCATTCATTTAAGGAACTCTGGCAGCCCGGTCCCAGTAACGAGGGATCCAGACCAGGTCTGAGTAAATCCATAAGCGGGAAACACTATTCAAATTTCTCTTCATTCGACTATAGGAATATGCCTTAGACCGATTTAATTACTCATACCCTTACAAACCCACAAGATTAGCATTTAATGCATCTTTCTTACACGTGTCAGGCGACATTGACTTTTTGCAGGAGCCATAGTGATGAGGTCATCAAACCAGAATCAAACCAAAAACTTGTTTCCAAGCTCAAAGAAGCATCAATGACTCGTTCCAAATCAAGGAGGCTGAGGGAAGGGTTCCACTTGGCCGTAGAAGCTTTACTAAGCACCATGGAGCTTGGAGATGCATTCAAAACCGGTTCACAAGAGCACAACATGCAAGACATCCCCAAAGCACCCGATTTAGACATAATGGAAGGCTTCATGCGCTTGAGCCTCAAAGAAGACCAGCCTCGACCTGAGCAAGGTATGCGTGTTTATTTGGCAGGAAATAGAGCCCGGAACACCAAGAACCTCGAAGAGACCGCCTCAGAGCTTCAAGATACAAAAATCTCATGACATAAAGCCGATAGCAAGCAAATGGAACAAGAAGAAGGACATGAAGCTGGACAAGTGAAGATACTCGAAGAACTCACAAGACATGACGTTAGCAGGACTCAAGATGAATAAAACATCAAGACTAACGAGCTGCATGGACCGGAACACGACTTAATCAACCCCACAACAAGCAAGCTCATAACCGGCCATAATCAGGTATTTTCAATTTATATGATTTTTGCAGGTAACATGGAAGTGTCCTAGTGGTGTCTTACATGCTCGAGGGCCTCAGAGATCATCGGTTCAAGTCCAGGAAAGGTTACACGTAGTTAGTTTATTTTCTTTTTTAGTTTAAGTGATCTTTCCACTTTTGTGTCCAAATGAGACGTCTTGCCATTTTTCTTATTTACTTTTTACAAGTCTTGTTGTCTTGAGTCTGTTATGTCATTTTATTTCAAGAGTCAAACCCTAGAAAGTTCATAGCTGAAGGACTATTTATAAAGTCCCACACGCAGCTGTCATTGCCACCTTTTTACCCAATATCAATAAAATAACGCAGTTCTTCTTAACTTTGCTTAAGAGTTCATCTTTGCTTGTTCTTGTGTGTGTGATTCACCAAGAATCAAGTCCGCAGTATCAGAGACCTTCACATCATCTCTGTGGTGCCATCGATCCAGTTCAAAACCATTCACTGATCCCTCAATAGAGAGCGTAAAGCTAGCTTAACAGATCCCATCTCGATTCAAGTCATGTAAAAGCAAGTCTTGTCTTACCACTTGCATCCACTGATCCACACGAGAGAGCGTCATAGCCAGCGTGTTGATCCCACCAAGCCACCTATTCCACAATCATATAAGGCTCTCACCGAATCTTATATCACATAGGAAAAAGCAGAGGTTCAGCAAGATCCATACCGCGCCTGAACCGCTGAACTAACCCGTGCACTAAGGGCAAAAGTGAAGCTCCGAAGAACGGTCTCGTGGCAGACAGAACATGCCAATAAAAGTTGGTGAGACTGTCAGAAGCATGACGCAACCATAGGATTCGAACCCAGTCAAGTCGGGTCATGGACCGATCAACCCGACTTACTATCTGCGGACCAATCCGGTATACTAACCTGGGTGAGATAAAATCCTATAAATACTTTATCCCTTCCAACAAAGAAGGGGAAAGACACTTTTTTAGCTATCTTAAAGTTCATAATATCTCTCTAGATAATTGTAAGTCTTAGACGCTGGCATCTTATACTTTCTGGTCACTATTCCAACCATATTTTCACTTCCTCTCCACGGTAGTCCCTAAGCCGTGGAGCTTTTCCACTAACAAATTATTCTCTTCTTCTTTTTTCACCTCAAAAATCCTATCACCTCTAAAGGCCAGAGTTGATTTTACCTTTCTCAAGAACTTTCGGCCCACTTTCTTCCCAGATTTTTCTGATCTCTTTTCTGCTCTCCGATTAGCCACTTAGTGGTATTTTTGGTTGGTTTTTGACTTGAGCGTCGGAGAGCCTTCAGAAAACACACCCTCATATTTTTTTTCAGGCCTTCACGTGTTTCTCGATTTTGCAGGAGACTTTCCACCACAGCCATTCATTTCAGGAGACTCTCCGTAGAGGTACCCGGAGAGCAAAGCTATTCATTTCAGTAACCCTATAAGCCTGGTCTCAATATCCAGGGTTCCGGACCAGGTATGAGTAAATCAATAAACGGGAAATACTATTCAAATTTCCATCCATTCTACAATAGGAATATGCCTTAGACTAATTGTATTACCCATACCCTTACAAACCCACGAGATTGGCATTTAATGCATCTTTCTTACACGTGTTAGGCGACAGTGACCTTTCGCAGGAGCCAGAGGGAAAGGCAGAGGTTCAGCGAGAGTCATACCGCACCTGAACCGCCAAACTAAGCCGTACACTGAGGATGAAAGGGACGCAACAAAGAATGGTCTCGTGGCAGGCAGAACATGCCAAAAACGTTGGTGATACCGTCAGAAGCATGACGCAAGCATAAGATTCGAATCCAGTCAAGTCGGATCATGGACCGACCCACCCGACTCACTGTCTGCGGACTAACCCGGTATACTAACCCGAGTCAGATAAAATCCTATATATACTTTATCCCTTCCAACAAGGAAGGGGGGACACACTTTTTTAGCTATCCTAAGGTTTATAATATCTCTCTAGATAATTGTTAATCTTAGACACTGGCATCTTATACTTTCCGGTCACTATTCCGACCATCTCTCCACTTCCTCTCCACGGTGGTCCCTAAGCGTGGAGCTTTTCCACCAACAAAGTCTTTTTTCTTCTCTTTTCACCTCAAAAAGTCCATAACCGCTAAAGGCCCGAGTTGATTCTACATTTCTCAGAAACACTCAGCCCACTTTCTTCCCTCAGTTTTTAGATCTCTTTCTGCACTCCGATTAGCCACTTAGTGGTCTTTTTGGTTTGTTTCTGATTTGAGCGTTGTAGAGCCTTCTGAAAACACATCCTCCATCGTGTTTTCCGGGTTTTCACGTGTTTCTTGGTTTTGCAGGAGACTTGCTCCCACCAAAGGACAACAAATTTCCTAAACAATAACAACTAATTTTGTGATTTTTTCAATAACTAATCTAATATATATTTCTTTAAATCAAAACTAGTCTAAATTAAAATTTGAATTTTTGAAACTATTTTTAAATATAAATTAAAATATATTTTTTATTAAGATTATATGAAATTACCTTGTTTGGCAATAGGAACAATAGTTATCCAAAAACAATTGCTTAAAATGAAAAAAATTATGTTTGAACACAAAAAGTGTGATGTCAAAAAAAAAAAAAACACAAAAAGTGTTTCTATTTTAATAAAATATATAAATTTTGATTTATTTCGTATTTTCTTCTTCCTTCAGTCAGAGTCTTTTGCTATCTTTCGTTGTTGATTTCTTCTAATTTAATCTTTCACTAATCGTTAGTGGAGATGTTAAGTTTCATGGATTTCCAACTCAAAACCAATTGGCGATAAGTGGAGAGGCCCAAGTCCCTTATATACTAGTGTTAGTCCCTTTAAACTTCTGATGTGGAATTCTAACACGCCCCCTCGAGATGATGGCTTTTATCAGCCCATATCGAACCGAATCCCAATTTAGGACCGATAATAAACCCTTCTTGAGCCACCCTTTTTGAGTCAACAAACGAGGCTCTGATACCATGTTAAGTTTCCTGGGCTTTGATAGACACGACTTTTGAGGGTCTCAGGGCTATCAATCCCCTTGTCAAAGTAGCACAAAGAGGTTATCAATCCAAGAATGTGGTGATAGACACTAAGCTATGTGATCAGTTTCTCAATTCAAGTAAACAGGTGAGGTTTTGATTGGCTAATGATAACTACAAACTGAAAACAGGATTAATGACTAAATGAGAATTAAACAATTACAAGTGATATGAATATGATATGATGGAAGCATGAGATTCTAGACATGATAGTTGGCTAGGGTGCTTTGGTGCTAAACTAGGAATGCTAATGACAATGATGAGACATGATTCAAATGATTAAGAACTCTAATCTAGGTTAATCCTCTCATGAAGGTATTAACCCCTACACTAATC